TGGCAGGGTGGGTGAAGGTAGTGGTTAATGCCTTCCTTTGTAAAGGCAAGTTTCCAGACAGCTTAAAAGAAGTTGTTATATAACTGCTGTTGAAAAAATCTCTGGACCCCACCCAACCGAACAATTTTTGGCTAGTTTCCAATCTCCCCTTTTTGTGCAAAGTCCTGGAATGTGTGGTGGCCTCACAACTCCAGGTGTTCTTGGAAGACATGGATTATCTCCAGGTGTTCTTGGAAGACATGGCACAGTTTGGCTTTAGGCCAGGACATGGAATTGAAACAGCCATAGTCACCTTAGTGGATGATCTACACCAGAACTGGACAGGGGAATGTGCCCCTGTTGGTTTTGTTGGACCTCTCAGTGGCCTTTGATACTGGTGCCTGGCAGGAATGGGTCTTGGGAATACTTTTTTTACAGTGGCTCCGGTCCTTCCTGGAGGGTTGTTCCCAGAAGGTGTTGTTGGGGGACACCTGCTCAGCCCCACAGTCATTGTCCTGTGAGGTCCCACAGGGCTCAATATTGTTCCCCATGTTGTTTAGCATCTACATGAAGCTGTTGGGAGAGATCATCCAGAGTTTTGGAGTTTGATGTCACCTGTATTTAGACAACACCCAACTCTATCACTCTTTTCCACTTGCTACTAAGGAGGCTGTTCAGATCCTGAACCGGTGCTTTGCAGCTATGTCGGGTTGGTTGGGAGCGAATAAATTGAAATTGAATCCAGAAAAGACAGTGGTGCTCCTGATCAGTCATAAGGCTGAACAGGGTATAGGGTTACGGCCTGTGTTGGACAAGGTTACACTCTCCCTGAAGACACAGGTTTGCAGTTTGGGAGTTTTGGACCCATTTCTTTTGGCAATCCAGGGTATCTGTAAACCACAAGTGAATTGACTCTTCTCACCAGCTTTCTTCTCACCAGCTTTCTTCCATCTTTCCCAATCATACATAGAAATGCAAAATATGACACCATAACTCCTTAGAAAAGACAATAATACTTGGTAAGGTAGATGGCAGTAAGAAAAGAGAATAGCACATTACAAGAAATCAAGGAAGCCACAGGAGTCAGTTTACAGGATCTGAACAGGATTGTTGATAATAGGAACATTTGGAAGTTTCTTGATAGAGTCCCCATAAATCAAAGATGAGTTTATAGTAGTTACCATTTAAGAGTATAGCAGCCCTAAGGTTTTTTATCCCCTCACTCTCTCCACCATTATTTGTGAGGAGAAATCAAAGTAAGGCAATCTAAAACAGTTACAAAGAGGATTAGATGTGATATGTGGCCACATATCATGTATCATAGATGCAGAAATGCAGCTATGAGCCAGTTTTTCAGTGGAAGCATTTCATGGTAATTTGTATGCTAAGATTAATGCAAATGTTATGTATAGCCAACTATTTTTGGCAATTGTTGACTTTCAAATCCCACTGAGTGTTTCTTCAGTTTGATGGTCAAAGGTGTTACCAACTGATCTCAAAACAAATTGTTCTTCCTCCAAGGGAGCAAATCTGAAAGACAGTCCCATTCATAATTGCTGGAGGAATTCACATTGAAGCCACGGGAACTAATAATAATGTCATGAATCAAGCGGAGTCAGATTTACTCCCCAGTCTATTTAATTCTAAATTAGAATATGGTTATCATTTTTTGAAAACATATACACAAGCATGATACTCAAAATGCTCCTTGCTTCACTGCTGTAAAAGCTGTTTTATTCTTCAACAAGTATCAGCAGGAGCTCAGATGGCATTCAGGGGATTTTATTTATTTATTTCCTTTGAAAGGGCCATGCAGCCCCGCTGGTTATAATGAGTTCGTATTTGTCAAATAGGCTTTATGCTTAAATAAAAGGTTAATGATAAACAACATTTTTTGAACCGCTGGGCACACCACTCAAGCACTGGGTATGGCATTCATCTTGAACAAACCAGAGTTCAGAGAAAGATCTATACAAATAATATGAAAAAGAGCATGCTATTTCAGCATTACCATATACTTACCAGAAGAAAAGGAAATGTGAGAACACATTCCCCTGCCCCCACAACAAACAAATCTGTTTAGTATCATTTTGTGAACGATATCACAATATATTTGGAACTAAGGAATTAAAGATCAAGGTAACGTGTGCTATCTTGCCATGCACCATTGCTATCTTATTGAAGTCTGTAATTGTGTCCTTGGCACAATTGTTTCAGAGTAAATTCCACTGAAATTGGTGGGGATAACTGCTCTATTTTCAACTCAAGAGATCGTCACAAAGCTGAATCCAGCATATTCAAACATCAGTCATGGCAATATCTTTCGGCTTTCTCATTGTTACACCACTGGTATACAAACCACACAGACAGCAGACGCTACCTAGAGATCAAGCCTGACCCCATGAATGATAATGTAATCTAGGGAATTTAACCGACAACAGGAATGCATGATCTGGATTAATTGTTAACAGAGATAGGGGAACATTTTTGCTTTTGATTTTTTTGAGCCTTGGTTTTGCAGCCCTCCTTCTCTCTCTACAATATGATTCATGAAAATGAGACAGTTACATTTTCAAGTAACTGTAATGTATTGTTCTGCCAGAACCCAAAACAAAATGAATTGTAACAATGATGTATAGCAGCAGTGGGGAACATGTGGCCTTCCAGCTATTGTTGGATTCTACCGTCACAATCCCTTGCTCTTGGTAAAGTTGGCTATGAGAAATAGCAACTGCAGTCCAACGGCATCTGGCAGATCACAAAGTCCACATCCCTCGTGTAGGGAAACAAGCCAGAATCATAAACCGTAGATTGAAGTTGGCTTGTGTCCCTAAACTGAGATAGAGAGAAGATTTTTTGCTCTATGAATGACATCTGGCCTGTCGTATTCTTTCCTAATTCCACCCTAGTCTCCCCTATCTAGAAACTTTACAGCAATTCAGCTTGTTTAATTCAAACTTCATGTGCAACTGTGGATGAAAGAGTTATCTCTCCTTTCCCTGCATGTTACAATCTCTACCTGGCAATTAAATGTGAAAAAAACCTCTAATTGACTCCTGTTGGAGGCCTTTCTCAAGCATAAGTACTGCATGGTGGGTGGGTTGAAAGCAGGAGTCTGAATGTGTTGAAGTATTTTATGAGCAGGAACGTCTATGTACATACATATACAAGTATATAGGTTTGGGAGCGTTTCAGGCCCACGCTTCTTCAGATTAGGAATGAAGAAAATAATTATACTACCAGTGACTTGGGGTCCAAGTAGGGAATGGATGGTTGTCTCATCCAGCTGCTATATACAATATTAAATATGATTTTGACAAGTAATGTGAAGTTTTGTCAATATTGTAAGAGACATGATGCCAGAAAACATTGTTTAGCTATAAATCATGGATATTAGGAAGAACTTACTGACTGTGAGAGTTGTTCAGCCATTGAACTCTCTGCCCAGAGTGTGATAGAGGCTCCTTCTTTGGAGGCTTTTAAACTGAGGCTGGATGGCCATCTGTCGGGGGTGCTTTGAATGTGATTTTCCTGCTTCTTGGCAGGGGGTTGGACTGCATGGCCCACAAGTTCTCTTCCAACTCTATAATTCTATGAAATCCCCATTTGCATTTCCTTCTGTTTGTTGCATGCTGCAAGTATACACCAGAGGCACCCAAAGCGGTCAGCTTCTGGTCAAAGGAAATTTAGTATAATGCCAAGTTTTTAACTTTGTTTGTGGTTTTACAGCGTAAAGGACTTAAATCCCCCAAAAATCTAAATGACGGAAAAGCTAAATGTGGATACAGAAAAAAGGGAAGAGGGAGGGAAGGACGGGGAGAAAGAAAGAGGGAGTGGAAGTATGAAGGAAAGAGAGAAGCATGGAAGCAAAGAGTGAAGGAAGGAAAGAGGTAGAGAAGGAAGAAAGGCGAGAAAGAGGAAAAAAAAGGGGGAAGGAAGGAAGGAGAGAAAGAGGGGGAAGGAAGAAGGAGAGAATGGAGGATGGAAGCAAAAAGCAAAGGAAGGAAGGAAGGAAGAAAGGAAAGAGGTAGAGAAGAAAGAAAGTAGGGAAAGTAGAAGAGAAAAAAGGGGGGAGGAAGGAAAGTGGTAGAGATGGAAGGATTGAGAGAAGAAAAGGGAAGGAGGGAGGGAAAGGAGAGAAAGAGGGAGGGAAGGAAAGAGGTAGAGAATGAAGAAAGGAGGGAAAGTAGAAGGAAAAGAAAAAGGAGGGAAGGAAAAAAAGAGGTAGAGATGGAAGGAAGAAGGAAAGAAAAAAGATGAGGAAGGAAAGAGAGAGCGAAGGAAGGAGGGAAAGAAGGAGAGAAAGAGGAAGGGAAGGAAAGAAGGAAAGAGAATGGAGGATGGAAGCAAAAAGCGAAGGAAGGAAGGAAGGAAGGAGTAGAGAATGAAGAAAGGCAGTAAAGTAGAAGGAAAAGAAAAAGGAGGGGAGGAAGAAAAGAGAGAAGGAAGGGCAGAAGGAAAGAAAAAAGAAGAGGAAGGAAAGAGAGAGCGAAGGAAGGAGGGAAAGAAGGAGAGAAAGAGGAAGGGAAGGAAAGAAGGAAAGAGAATGGAGGATGGAAGCAAAAAGCGAAGGAAGGAAGGAAGGAAGGAAGGAAAGAGGTAGAGAAGGAAAGAGAAACAGGAAAAGAAAAAGAGGAAAGAAAGAGGTAGAGATGGAAGGAGAGAAGGAAAAAAGTAGAAAGAAAAGAAAAAGGGGGAAGAAAGGAAAGAGGTAGAGATGGAAGGAAAGAGAAGGAAAGAAAAGGGAAGGAGAGAAAGAAATAGAGAAAGAGAGAGAGAAGGTTGGCCACAGCAACGCGTGGTGGGCAAAAGTAGTGTACAAATAAATGTATTATAACAATAATTCTTTTCCTCTCTTCTTCTCTTCCTTCCTTTTGCCTGCCTTTATCTCTTTCCCTCCCTCCTTCCCTGAACTTCCAAGGCAAACTCTTCAGCCTGGCCTCGCGCCTCCTTCAGAAGCCAGTCCCGGGCAAGCAGGGGGCGTGGCTTCCCAGTGGGGGCGTGGCCTCGGTGCGCTTAAGCCCCGCCCCCTCCGCTGCCCTCGCGTGGCCCGATCAAGATGGCGGCTCCCATGGCGTGGCGGCGCGCTCCTTCCTTGCTGCTGTGTGGCCACAGACCGGTGAGTCCGGCCGGCCTCTTCCTTCTCTTCCTCCTCCTCCTCCTCCTCCTCCTCCTCCTCGCGGCCTAGCAGCACATCTCCCTCGTTGCCCTCTGCAAAGAGACTTCTGTAGAATGACTCACAGCTTGGACTGCCCCTGGCTCAGGGCTAAGGGATCCTAGGAGCTGCAGTTGTCAGTGAGGCAGAGAGAAGGCGACAGGCACACTTTGTGAAACTGAGACCCCCCCCCCCCCCCAACACTGAAAGGGATGTCAAGCTGTTTTGATTTCTACACTGTGGACTCACTCCTAATCCCCTGCTGAGTCCCTATCCCCCTTCCCTGTCTCTACTCAGAAGTGACTGGGACTTGCAGTCACATTGAGCCATGCTTTCCCTCCCTTCTCATAACTGTCATTGGTGTTTCTGGAGTGAAAAGGAGAAGGCACTCTGCACAAGCTCAGAAACATTTCGTTGGTATTGAGCAAAAGGGAAGGGAACAAAATGCATCTACACAAGGCATGGGCAAACTTTGGCCCTCCAGGTGTTTTGGACTACACCTCCCACAATTCCTAACAGCCGGTAGGCTGTTAGGAATTGTGGGAGTTGTAGTCCAAAACACCTGGAGGGCCAAAGTTTGCCCATGCCTTTAGGATTAATTCATTTAGTTACCACTTTTAACTCCTAGGTCTCAGTGCTCTGGAATTATTATTATTTATACCCTGGGTGGTTGTAGGTTTTTCGGAAAAGAAAAAGGGGAAGGTAGGAAAGAGAGAAGGAAGGAAGGACAGAAAGAAAGAAAAAAGAAGAGGAAGGAAAGAGAGCGAAGGAAGGAGGGAAAGAAGGAGAGAAAGAGGGAGGGAAGGAAAGGAAAGAGAATGGAGAATGGAAGCAAAAAGCGAAGGAAGGAAAGGAAGGAAGGAAGGAAAGAGGTTGAGATTGAAGAAAGGAGGGAAAGTAGGGGAAGGATGCTTACCATAGATTCAGGTGAAACTTCAGGAGTTAATGCTTCAGGAACATGGCCATATAGCCTGAAAAACCTACAACAACCTAGTGATTCCAGCCATGAAAGCCTTCGACAAAGCCGGTAGACTGTTAGGAATTGTGGGAGTTGCAATCCAAAACACCTAGAGGGCCAAAGTTTACCCTTGCCTGATCAACACTGTGGGTTTCATCACGTTTAACTGCCAAGTCTCACTCCTCTGGAATTATTATTATTATTATTATTATTATTATTATATAATGATAATTTTAATTATTGTCAGCCCATTTGATTTTCAGGTTTTATTTTTCTTGTGAGGAGGAGGGAACAGATGGAGCAAGGATGGAATTAGGCTAATAGTCATTTCAGAATTATAGTCCAACTACATAACTTGGATGCCATGGGACCAAAGTTTGCCCATGCCTGATCAACACTCAGGGATTAATTCATTACTTTTAATGGCCAGGTATTAGTGCTCTGGAATGATTATTTATACAATGCTTTATTTCTCCCAAAGGGGACTCCAAGCAACTTAATATAAAAACATTAGTGCATCATTTAAATGGAGTAATGAGATTTGTAGTTTGGTGGGGCACTGGCACGCTTTGTCAGAGATGGCTAAAGACCTTGTAAAACTACAACTCCCGTGATTCCATAGCATTGAGCCATGGCACTTCAACTGGTATCAAACTGTTAATTCTACAGTGTAGATCAGGCATGGACAAACTCCTGGCTCAATGCTATGGGAGTTTTGCAAGGTCTTTAGCCACCTCTGCCAAAGTGCTTGGTGCCCCACCAAACTACAAATTTCATCATCCTCCAGCACTCATCCAAGGCAGTTAAAGTGGTGCTAAATTGCATTCATTCTGCATCAGGCCTCGGCAAGCTTCAGCCCTCCAGGTGTTTTGGACTTCACCTCCCACAATTCCTAGCAGCCTCTGTGGAGTAGGCCTCTGTTCACCCGAGGACAGAGCAGATGTGGTTGGTACTTTGAACCTCTGCCTCCTTATTTACTTTGACTAAGGAGTTGCTATCGCTCTTTGTCATAGAAGCATAGCCAGTGTCCCTGCTCTGCTAACTTTCTGTGCCTTTTTAAAATGTAAGAACAGCATAAACGGACATATTCTTCTGGAATTTGTACTTTGTTTCCTATTTATTATTCTGATTAGGTCTAATAGCACTGAAGATAATGAGAGTATTATATACCAAGTTATAAAATCATAGAATCAAAGAGTTGGAAGAGACCTCATGGGCCATCCAGTCCAACCCCCTGCCAAGAAGCAGGAATATTGCATTCAAATCACCCCTGACAGATGGCCATCCAGCTTCTGTTTAAAAGCTTCCAAAGAAGGAGTCTCCACCACACTCCGGGGCAGAGATTTCCACTGCTGAATGGCTCTCACAGTCAGGAAGTTCTCCCTCATGTTCAGATGGAATCTCCTTTCGACTTCATCTATAGATCGAGGGGAGGTTTGGAGGCCAAAATTATGGATTTTGATATGACTCCTGGATAAATCGAGGGTCATTCTGCAAAAGGGGGAAACACCAGGGCTGCCTCAGGACCAGTTCCTTCTAGGGCCTTTCCACACAGCCCTATATCCCAGATTATCAAGTCAGAAAATCCCACATTATCTGAGTGTGGACTCAGATAACCCAGTTCAAAGCAGATATTGTGGGATTTTCTCTCTTGTTATTCTGGAATATAGGGCTGTGTGGAAGGGCCGTTGATTATCTGAGTCCACACTCAGATAATGTGGGTTTTTTGCCTTGATATTCTGGGATATAGGGCTGTGTGGAAGGGGTCCCTACACTGCCATATCCAGATTACACTGTGTAACGCATATATTGTTCCTGGGTTATAAATATAATTTCCTATTTGGTTTCATCATAAATACATGGAGAAATTTTATTAAACTGCAAAACTTTGTTCTTTTGGGGTGTCCTGTAGCTCATTTTGCTTTTTTTACAGTGAATATCTCAGGGCCCTTCCGTACGGCCATATAACCCAGAATATCAAGGCAGAAAATTCCACAATATCTGCTTGGAACTGCCATGTATTCCAGTTCAAAGCAGATAATGTGGGATTTTATTTAGTTGTGTGGAAGGGGCCGCAGAGAGTCTGAACTGATTCAGCATAGCTTGTGGCAGCTACAAAAATGAAGTTTCTGGAGTAATACAAATACTTTCAAAGTTAGTACTTACTTAGGCGATCCCTCATAGTCCGAGGATGATGGTCCTTCAAGTGTAGTGTCCTGGCGGTGGGTCCATAGGTGTCTGTGGCGCTAATAGTACACAATTAAACAGTACCACACAATTAAAGTTAGTACCACACAATTAAAGTTAGTACCACACAATTAAAGTTAGTACCACACAATTAAACAGGAAATTACACTTTGAAGCCAGGAACAGATTTTTTTGAAATTTTGTTACATAGTGTTATCTGGTTTGAACTGAAGTCTGTGGTAGGGTAGACTATATAATCCTGTTCAAAGCAGATAATCTGGATTCAGAAACTGGATTGTATGGCTGTATAGATACAGCCTGACTGCTATCATTTCCAGGACCAGGCATTTTAAAAGTTCTGAAGCAATGCCACAGCAGAGAAAGTAGGTTCTCCTGAGTTAGACTAAGACCAGACTTGGCAACAGTATGATAGCTGGGACCCTACGCTAGTTGAAGGGAACACATGCACGAGACAGCGGAGCGAGTGAGAGATGCAGCTGCAACAGGATAGCAGTGAAGTAATTTAACTCAGGAGGGTCAGGATAAGGGTGAGATAATGTAACAGTATCCCCCTCCCCTTTCTTATCCTTCCTACATTGCAACGACTCCGCCTCAGCAGTGAAGTAATTTAACTCAGGAGGGACAGGATAAGGATGAGGTAATGTAACTGTATTCCCCCCTCCTTTTTATCCTTCCTTCCATTGCAGTGACTCTGCCACAGCTGCGCCTCTCACTCGGTGCACTCACTCACGCATGTGTTCTCCTAATTCAGATCCTCATTGTGCAAGCAGTGTAGCGTAGGGTCCCAGCTATCATACTATAGCCCCAGACTTTGGTCTTCCAGGTATTTTGGACTCCAGCTCCCACAATTCCTAACAGCTGATAAATTGGCTGAGATTTCTGGAAGTTGAACTCCAAAACACCTGGAGTACCAAAGGTTGGGAACCACTGGGCTGAGTAAGCTCTTGCCTTTTCCCACTCCACGAAGAAGATGGTATCTTTTTTGATAAGACTCACACTGACCCATGAATAAGATAACCCAGTTATTTGAGGCTGAGTTTTTGACTAACATTTCTAGACTTATACATGAGTGTATAGGAGAACTTTCCAAATGGTGTGTCGCAACATGTTCACTTGTTGGCTGTATAGGTGTGTCATATGAACATAATGAAAAACCTCTGATTATATGTGAAAAAAGAAATAAGTAATATATTTTTTAAAATGTAAATGAAAGGTGTTTATGAGATATGTTGGGTCCCCATACCTTTTGTTATTACAATTTCTGTTTGTGTCTGTATCTCTTACAAGGGGTTGTTTTAACTTCTGGTTTGCCATTTTGGGCTTCAAAATGATGCCTGTCTCAGTGTGTTACTAACATGAAATGTTTGGAAAGTTCTGGTACATAGGGTAATGGACACTGACGTTGAGTGTAGCTTGTTCTATTGCTAATACTGGTAACTATGGGCCCATGTACACAGGCTTAATAACCTGAGGCAGGAATGAATGGGTTTTATGGTGTTGACATGAGGCACAGTTGATTCAGCCCCCATGATGGTAAGGACGCTTAACATAGTCCTGCCCCACATTACCTAAAGTCAGAGGATGCTCTGGAGCTTCCTTGCATTTTGGGGCAGTTTAAACAGTTGAGACACTTCCATTTCAGAACTGGTCACTGTTGTTAACACAGGCACCCTACTTTCCCGGGGTTTGGGGTGATCCTTTCTTTCCCCCTCTCTCCTGTCCGAGCCTCACAGATGCTTTTTCAAGCATTAGGAAAGGTGCCAAGCAACAAAGGAGCACATTTGCGCACTGTCATTAC